AGATGGAATGGTGTTTATAGCTGCTCCATTGTCGACAAGCACTTTTGCCACAGGGATGCCATTAACTAGAGTTTTAACGTGCAATGGCCTCAAGTGTTTAGTCAGTTTCATGGCTGACCATTTAAAAATAACCTTTTTGGCAGCCTCTTTTTCTACTTCCTACTTGTTTTCTGTCAAATTATCCCCCTGTGATAAGTCGACGTGCAGCATATCGTGCTGAGCCTCTGTCTCTTGAATTTCCCCTCCTCATCGGTTACCCAACCTGTGGGGGGGCATTATTCTTGGAGGTGATCCATACTTTTCAAAGCGAGGCACTCTCCTCTTCCTTTTGGGCGTCCCATACAGTACGTAGAAATCGAAAGGACGCCCAGATGGTTCTTCCAACAAGTCTACTTCACGAACTCCCTCTCGATGTAGTTGCTTCAACAGAGTGTTGTGCGATACTCCTCTCCTTCTTCTTTCTGCTTCTAGGTCGATTTCTTCTTCGATGTCTGTCATTCCATCGTCTTCTTCATCATTGTAGGCCTCTCTAGAAGTCTAGCCTTCTTCACATTCCAGCACGCAAGCCTCTCCTTCGTTGTCCTCCCTTTCTTCTTCTTCTTTTTCTTTATTCTTGAATTCATTGGCCAGTAAGTAATTATTGGCCACGACAGGAGGTAACGTACCGAACTGGATAGTAAGGGGTTGATCTAGATCTTCTCCATCCTTTCTGTCTCGCTCAAACTTTGATCTCCCAAAAGAAATTTCTGGCAGTTCCTTCATTGATTCATCTGTACCAGTCTCTTCACTATCTTTGAGAACATTTTGATTGGCCACCTTGAGTAGTTTAGGCGCTTTAGGATGTGGCACTCCCTGTTGCTACCTCATCATTCGTCCATAGTTTCGTTAGAAATGCCTTTGTTGGGTTCTAGTCATCTCATCAAAGGGTATTGCTCTTCCTGCATTATACTGGAACGAATGCCATACATTTGACCGGCGAGGTTGCGGCCTGAATGTTCTCCCATTATCTACTGGCCTGAACTGCCTCTCAAAAAGCAGTCCTCTATAGAATGATGTACCTCGCCCTCTACCAGGCTGAGTGTTTGGGAAGAAAGTAGAGCGATGAGGATGCTGCCATATCCCTGATTTTTCCGTGTTTCCACTCACTTCTCTTTTACATCTGGCACACAAGATGTCTTCGTCCTTTTTTGGCTCTTTCCCCTTGATTCGTTCAAAGACACTGAGATGTAATCCAGGGTCCTCTTCTCCATCATCTATGACCAATTTGAATTTTGACAACTTGTTTTTGAAACCAGATGTCACCATGTTCACTCCAAGTGGCTGTGGAAAAGGATTTTCATCCACTGCCATCTTCTTCTTATCATCGAATGTAATTCGTCTTGATTCAATGGCATCATGCAATACATGGCGAAAAACCAAGCAATTGTTAGTCAAATGTGACCATGCATTATGCCACTTACAATATTTTTTACCCTTAATTTGTTCAGGGTTTGGCAATTTATGCTTATCGCTCAACTTTATCTGCTTATCCCTATATAATTTATCAAATATAAGGTCAACTTTGGTTATATCGAATGAGAACGTTCTAACCTTTATGTTTCCATCTTTCATGGGCTCATCTTTACCCGATGGTCTAGACTTAGACATTATAGGACAAGTATACGTGTCTCCTTTATCCAATTCGGCCAAACACATTTCGGTTTGATCGTATGACTCGTCGCTGATGGTATGAACGTCAAAATTTGGGTCTTTGTAATAAGTCCTTTTACTAGAATTTTTCATCTGCTCTTCTTCTCTTATCAGTCGTTCATACCTAATTACATTCGCACTCAACTGGAAAAGGTCGGGAAATTCCTTGTCTTCGAATTTCATTTTTAAATCAAAGCTCAAACAGCCCTGAGCGATTTTGACAAATTCTTTTTCGGGCAGAGGTACAAAACACTTGCTTCTTACTGTCTTGAACCTTTGGAGAAAACTTTCTGCCCATTCGTTTGACATTTGACGTAGATTCGCCAAATCAGTTAAAGTGACTTCAGACTCAGTTTTATAAAACTGAGCGTGGAATAATTGTTCCAATTGTGCCATGTTTGAACAGAGTTCGCTGGCAAGTTGATGAATCAGGAGAAAGCTACTCCTGTTAATGAACTAGGGAAAAACCTCATTTTATAGTAATCAGTTAAATCACCACTTTGCAATGTGAATCGTCCTATGTGTTCTAGAGTAGACACCTCTCCTAAACCGGATAACAGTGAGAATTTTGGTTCTTTATACCCTCTAGGCCATGGATATGTTTGGTCTACCCAATTAGAATATGGCTTTGTGTAAGTCGGCCTAATGACAGGACGCACCCCCAAAAGCCATCTGATCCTATACGATTTCCATAATCTGATTCCTCAACATGACGTTGGGGTCATATGAAATTCCTACAGGTTGGTTAACCGGTTGATTTGCACGAGGCCTGATGTTTGGTCCTTGATTGGCAACAAAGTTACCATGATTAGGGCCATTACCATTAGCCTGAACATCTATTCCCTCATTAATACGTGGGGTATTCTGTCCATTGTTCAGGACATTATCTCTTACATTTGGATTTTCCCCAAGTTAGGAGTACCACTACCATTGTTCTGATTTGCCACTACACCACCCCCTTGGTTTGAAGTAAAGGGACCAAAAAGTGGTTCTATCCCTTGATTCGGATTTAGGGCTGAGGGATTATGTCCCACAATTGTCCTAATTTGAAAGTGATTTGCAAGAGGTATAACCGGTTGACATATTTGGCCTACTAACTTATTCATTGTTTCGTTCAAAGTGTTTAGTTGTTTGGCCATGTTGTCATAATGTGCATTCCCATTTTGGGTAAATCTTTTCATATTATGAATACTTCGAAAATTTACCTGTTCAACGACATCTTGTGTGAGTTCTCCAAGTAGTGCACGCATGATTCGAGGACTCAACTCTGTCATTGGTTCGTAACGACTGTTATTACTCTGATTCTGTCCATCTGTTTGTGGAGAGGCATGCTGCTCCTCATATCGCTCGATCACAGACTGGACTCTTGCCTGACTTGCTGCTTCCTTATCGGATCTCTGAGGCATATTGTTTCACCTTTTGTATTTTCAACACCAAACACCACTGGGCGTGCCAAATTGTTTCGCGCGTGTTCGTCGCTAACAATTAAAAGGGATCAGACGATTGTGTAAGGGACAAACCTCTTGAAACAAAGTCCTAAAAAGGGGTGTTCTTTATTGGCGGTGACTTTACAATTGAAAATTAAAAACAGAATGCCTTCAAGGGGCGCAAGCACACGAGTTACTGAAAGAAGTGTTTAAATCTAAACTAAAAAATTTAAAATTACATGTTCTCTGTTCGAAAGTTTTTTGATTCGGGTCCTTTTGCTCTATGTATTTCCTTCCTTTTATACTCCCTGAATGATCTCTTTGTGATCAACCGCGTAAAAACTGTTTGATCGTTTTATAACTGCCCACTTTCCTCGTAATGGCCAACTTGTCATGGAACTGCCTTTTCTAACTACTGTCATTACTCTTTGTCGTTCAATTGTCTTCAATTGAGTTCCTTGAATCGTAGAACGTGATAGGGCTGCTTTAATAACTGCTTTGATAACTGCACTTCTTGATAACCACAACACTTCATATTTGCTAGACCTTGGACGACTCGAAAGTTTGGGTGAGAATAGAGTAACAGCTTTGGGCGACTGCATGGCACTCCATTCGCTCATATCCTGGGCGACTTGCAAGCTTGGGCGATGGTGTTACCGCGTTCATGGGCCTCCCTATTTAAGGTCTTCATCTCGAATTGTCTGATTGGGCTATCTGATTTGGGGATCCTTCAATTGGGCTTCATTCTTTGGGTCATTCGATTTGGGCTGAATTTTTATGTGTCAACAAGTAAACAATTTAATTTGTTAAAGAATAACAAATAGGGGCTAAAATTTTTTGCATTTAGCATTTGTCACGGTAGGAAGTGATGGTAGAAGGAGCAGTGGTGCTGACATGGAGTGGCTGGCATTAGCACCGATTGGGGAGTGGTGGTGGAAGGTGCAGTGGCATCGGCGTGGTATGGGTGGCGTTGGCACTGGGGGTTAAGGGGGTTGGGGAAGAAGAGGATGGTGGGATGGTTTTTGTGTTTGATTTTTTTTTTATTTAATTATCAATATATTATAATTGTGTTTTTTTTTAAATGTAAAATTACCATGATATCCTTTTAAAATCAATCAAAATTATGGTCGATGTCAATTTTCTGGTCAACTAATAGTCAAATCAACGATTTCCATCCATTGGGATTGCAAGTGCGAATTTTTAAATTGTTTGGTATTATGAATGCCACAAAGTAAAGGTTTGAGGTCAAGTCTACATAAAAGAAAAAGGTTTGATACTGTAATTGCAATGTTCCCTAATTTTTAATTGAAGTCACACGATGTGTAAGTTAAATAATTATTTGACTCGTTTCAAAATAAGACATAGATGTTCTATTGAAAAAATCCAAATTACATTGTATGACATTTTAATTAGGACAACATAACATTTTACTTTCTAATGAATAACTTTAATTCATATTAGAACAACAAAAATTAAAAGATAAATTACACTTGGTGACCGGAACGTTTGAAGGCAGGAATCGATGGGATCTCAAACCTCTCACTTATAGAACTTGAAGTCCCAAACCTTTCAAGCATCTACGTCTAAGGTCCTTTTGTTACTAAAGTCTGATCACTAAAAGTGAAATGATAATTAAAAAATTTACTCAAAAATAAAAATAAGAACTGAATATCAATTTTTATTATTCTAACATGCACGTTATAAGATTAACCAAAGATCTGTTAAAAAGGTCGAATTATATGAAACGGGGTTATGGCGAATTCTTTACACACTGCACTGCTGAATTAGCCATCGCATGCCTTCCTTCCCGGCGCTTCAAGTCTCAAACCATTTGCGCCACTGCACATTCGAACAGTTGCAGCAGCTTCATGCCTTAATTATCAAAACATCCCTAGACCAAATCCCCGAAATCCGTTTAAAGTTCCTCCGGCGCAGCACTGAATTTGGGGGAATGGAGTATTCGAATCTCATTTTCAACCAAATGGGCGGTTTTTTCAACTCAGAAGTCACTCTTTGGAATACGATGGTAAGAGGCTATGCTTATAATGGACCCTTTAGGAATTGCATCTCAATGTTTGATGAAATGACTCTTAGAAATCTTAAACCAAATAATTTTACATACCCTTACGTTTTGAACTCTTGCTCTCAGTTGGGATTGTTTAGTAAAGGCCAAAGAGTGCATTGTCAGATAATAAAGTCTGGATTTGTGAATGCCTTTTCAGTTGGGAATGGCCTTTTTGAGTTTTATGTAAAAAAGATAGATTCTTTACAGACGGGTTTGGGGGAAAGTAGTAGTTTACATGATGCTAGGAAGATTTTCGATGGTGCGTGTGAAAAGACAATTGAATTATGGAACAGAATGGTTGGTATGTACGCGAGTATTGGGGATATGACCAGTGGAAGAGAACTGTTTGATAAAATGCCTGAAAGAGATGTGGTTTCATGGAATACTGTTATTTCTGGCTATGTTAAAGCAGGTGAAATTGTGAATGCTAGAGGTTTGTTTGAGCGAATGCCAGAGAAGAATGTGGTGTCTTGGACTACTATCGTTGGGGCTTATGCTCATGTAGGTGACATCAAAACTGCGAGGAAATTTTTTGAGAAAATGCCCGAGAGAAATGTGGTCTCATGGAATTGTATGATGTCGGGTTACACCCAGAAAGGGGAATTTCAGGAGGCACTCGATCTTTTTGTTCAGATGCAATTAGAAGGTCTCGAGCCAGATTCTTTCTCCTTTGTTTCAGCTCTATCAGCCTGTTCTAACTTAAGTAATCTTCAGTTTGGGAAATGGGTGCACACTCTGATAAAAGATTGGCCTAATCTAGGTGTTATAGTAGGGACAGCCCTTATAGAAATGTATGCTAAATGTGGATATATCGATAGGGCATTTACATATTTTATCAAGATTGGAAATAAGGATGTCTTTTGCTACAATGTTATGATCAAGTCTCTGGCTATCCATGGGAGAGCAAATGACGCTATCAGAATTTTTCATCTGATGCAGAAAAGACAACTAAATCCGAATGACTTCACATTTTCTTGCGTGCTGTTTGCTTGCAGTCACGGAGGATTAGTGGAAGAGGGGCGCGAGATTTTCCATAGCATGGGACGAGAGTTTAAGCTCAGTCCCAAGATTGAACATTATTGCATCATGATTGATCTTCTATCCCGAAATGATCATCTTGAAGAAGGGATGGTGTTGATCAATGAGATGCCGGTCGAGCCCGACACTGCTACGTGGGGAGCTCTGTTAGGTGGATGCAGGGAAAGAGGCAATGTTGAATTGGCGCAGAGTATTGTAAAGAAGGTGATTGAGTTGAAACCAAAAGAAGCTGGAGTTCATGTGCTTTTATCTAATATACATGCTTGGATGGGTCAGTGGTTGGAGGCATTCCGCGCAAGGGAAGTGATGGAAGAAAATGGGATATGGAAGAGATCAGGAAGCAGTATCATTCAATGATATTCAAGGACGCCAGGGTAGAAATAACTCGGGGAAAACCATTTGTATAGAGAAGGGGTTCATAGAACCCCCCAGGAGAGACACATGAGGTCAGCCTTACCCGAGACCCATGGGTGATAAAAAATTGCAAAAAAGTGCCGACCTCCTGCCTTGTGTGTTGTCTGTAGAGCTTCTATGAAGTTCCGTTTTGTACATGTAGCAGGATTCTAATAACTTTTAGAAGATGGCATCATTGTCAAGAAGGTCCAAAGAAGATAGCAGGGAATAAGCGGCCGTTGCGAAGTTAACAAAAATTTTGGCAGGCCCAACAAGCCACATATCGGGTTGAATGAGCATCGTAAACAGCATTGACAAATTTATACGTCTAAGCATATCGTTGCTCAAAAAGGAGGAAAGAAACCAACTTTCAATAACAATTTCTAAAGAGGACAATGATGCTATCACAGTTATGGTTAATTGAACGGAAATGGGAATATACGTTGACAGGTGAAGGTGTTATTGACTGATGATGAATTAAAAAAATGACGACTAGAATTATTGGACAATTTTTATTAAACATAGAGTTCTTTCACAGCTGTCAAATGATTCATACATGATGTAACTGATCTCAAATGCATTTGAATGAAAATTCTTTGATGTATCATTTATTTATTTGACACGCAATACTAACATAAAATTAAAGAAGATTTTGATTTCTTTTAATTAACGTTGCTATATTAAATGTGGTTACAAATAAGCAGTTCAGTATTAATTTCCAATGGAAAGTAGAGAGATTCTAACATAATTGACGCTATGCTTTTAGCAAAAACAATTCTAATCCCTTCATCTCTTAGAATCAGTTCTTAACTTATTACAATTGAACAATACTCCAAATGACAGCTAGATAGGCAAATACAACTAATTAATCACGAACCATGTAAAAACCATTCTAAACTTGGATCTAACAATTACAATTGTTACATTTGACACCAGTCAAAAGATTACAACAGCTGGCTTGAATTTGTTGCTTAATGAAAATTGAAATGAGTAAATAAAATAGATGCTCATTGAATTTTATTGTTGGTTACCACTTGCTCATGCAACAATAAATAGTTATCAACTGCTCACTCAACTTTTCATTAAGTTACCCATCCATCACTGGAGCCAAATCCATCTGTACATGTGGAAAATAAATTACACGTGGATTTAAAAAATAACGTGGATGATGAATCACATCCACATCGTCTAAGATATCAAATATAGAGCAATATTTTCCCACTATCTTCACAAATTTCACCCAAAAAAAATAATCAAACATTGAAGTTCTAAGAAATCAGATGGAGCAAAATTTCCTTCCCCAAATCACCTTCATCTTCAAATCACATCCTCTAACTAATTCGTTTAATTAAGTAAAAAACCATCTTCAAAGTCATCAGAAATCCCAGATTAAACAACAAATCCAAACACTTCTGGAAACCACTAAGAATTCAAAATTCAGTGAAATTAAAGCAATGCAAAGCAAACAAATGAAGGACAGTGTTTTTAACTCAGTAAAAAGATATAAACAAAAAATAAAAATAAATCATCATTTACATACAGATTAAACAACCAATTAACCAAAAACTAGAAAAACTCATAAATAAAAAAAAAAAAAAGGAAAAAGAAAAATGCAACTTGAAAGTGGCCCAATTCAATAAACATCAAAATTAAAGCAATGCAAACCAAAACAAGTTACGGGCCTCATGGAATCATTTCCCTTGGTCTGTTCAAATTAGGGATTTACGATTTTGTCTTCTGCAATTGAATGGGATGTCTTTTGTTTCCAAATGAAGAAGCCTGGGAAACGTTCCTGTTAAATGAATTAAAAGTGGTAGTTAAGAAAATGCGTTTTTATCCCATACGTCATCCACTAACTCCATTTGTTACCACATCACTTTTCCATCAGCCACGAGTCAAATTTGTCCAGCTGTATAGGCAGAATTAGCTATGGTGAGCATTGAGTAATCAATTTAAATTTAGTGAGCAAGTAGTAACTATGTATAAATGTTGGTGATCAATCATTTAATTAACTCAAATTGAAATTGTCAAATGCGTTAAGTCTGAGTTACATCTGGCCAGAACACGTTTGCAGGGACAAAATTAATAAACCCAGAAACAATGCAGCCCTGTCCCTGTGCCAACAAGGCATATTTGGCACGCAAAACTAGAATCTAATTTAACCTAACAGACATGCCAAGAGAACACTCAACAATTCTTACACTGAATTTCCCTACAACAATCTAAACATCAAATCAAATTTGTGTCAACCAAAATGCTCAACAGTGTTTCCAAGCCATAAGAGCAGGTCAACAAGTTTTCGAAACAAGAAAAGACTTCATCGTGTAATGTGAGATTATCATTAAGACATCTTCCATGAACCAATGCTGCGGAAAAAATCCAGGCTCGTTGATGAAAATCTGAAATCAAACATTAAAAGAAATAAAACCAGTAATTTGAAGTTGTCTATTCTAGAAGAGAGAGCATGATTATGGTTATGGATTTGCTCAGTTGACCACAAAAGTAGGGCCTTGCACAGTTGCTGATTTGAATTCTCCGGGTGCATTCTACCTTCATATGAGTTTCCAGGAAGAATCTATGACTGGATCATGTTGAACTGGAAACGGGATAGTTGCTGCGGAATGGTGGAAATAACAGGTCCGTATCTCTGATGCAGAAAACAAGGAGCATTTACAATTATGTGATTACCATATAATGATGATCTTTACCACAAACGTTTACAGAAATAGTGAAAACAAATCCTATGCTCCTGCCAAAATTTTAGTAGAGACAAGACGAGGAGAATGGATCAAGCAAATGAAATATAAACCAATGAGCTAAGGCAAGAATATCTCAAACCTGAACATTGTCATAGAGTTCAAACAACGGAACAGCAAGAAGTTTCAAGTTCTTTGGAACAGCAAAGTACTCTTTCTCTGACAGATGAACAATGAAAAGCTTCTTGCACTCCTACATCATGAATAATAATATGAGATCAGCTGCATTGATACCAAAATGCATGTATAGTATGGAAGGATGTTTGCTGGTGATGTTACCTTCGGTTTTGTTATATGTGGAGGGCAGTAAGGATACATTATGGTTTCGAAATTTGGTCTCCACCATGTTGCCACACATTCACCTATCTGCAATGAATGTTACATCCAAGAATGAGAAAAGGAGAATCAAGTAAATATACAGTTAAATATCTTAAAAAAGGAATTTGTCATTTGTACACCCAATTTGTACACACTTGTTGAAACATGCATTGTTGTCAAAAAACCATTGGATGAAAAAACATTTTTTTTTTTTTCCCTTTTTTTAACTGTCAAATGAGATAATGCCATGTGGTATTGTGCCAAGCATGATTCCTTAAAAAACACCAAGAAAAAGATCTCCACCATGTTGCCACACATTCACCTATCTGCAATGAATGTTACATCCAAGAATGAGAAAAGGAGAATCAAGTAAATATACAGTTAAATATCTTATAAAAGGAATTTGTCATTTGTACACCCAATTTGTACACACTTGTTGAAACATGCATTGTTGTCAAAAAACCATTGGATGAAAAAACATTTTTTTTTTTTTCCCTTTTTTTAACTGTCAAATGAGATAATGCCATGTGGTATTGTGCCAAGCATGATTCCTTAAAAAACACCAAGAAAAAGAGAGTCGTGTCAAAGATCATGATGCAGCTCATGTGTACAGTAACAAAGATCACATATTCATCCTTAGTTTCTCGGATTTGGCATATAGAGTAAATAAAGCAAATTTATGACATTCATCCCTCCTTCCTCAGATGTATACATCCAACCAAAACACTTGGCGGGCTATGGAATATCAATCAGAGAAAACATTTAGTTCTGCAAACTTTATATTACACATTCCTTTCTACATGAAAAATCTCTAAAGCAGGTTGAAATGTTGAACAATATTTTCCCTTTTCCAAAATGTATCCTGACTATTTCTACCACGAACTTAGGTCAAATGATTATTCCATAAAGAATTACCTGCCAATCTGGCTCAAGACCAGGTGAATTCGCAGCAAGTTTGCTAGAAAGTTTCCGTTTCAAGCCCTCAATTTCTACAAAAGGATGTAAAATATATTTAAAGATAAATAAACTAACATCAGTATAAACTCAAAAAGTCCATGGCCAGAAACCGGGTTGTATTTTTTGCTTTTCTTTTTAGTCAATAAGCAGGAAGAAAATGTAGACTAACAATAGACTTTTGTAAGAGGGAGTAAAAAGATGTACCATTCTCTCCCGGCTTCAGTCGGCCACCTGGGAGTTTACAGAAAGTATTTCCAATTTGCAAAAGAAGAATATGTGGATGATTATGCTCTTGTACCTGTAGAAGGGAACCATGTTTCTCAATTAGCTACATGGTCATATTACTTACCACGTGCTAAGAGGGTGTTTGATGGGGATTAAAATTAAATTTTTTAGCAAATTGTAATAGATGTTTTTGAAATGTGTAATTGAAAAGTTACGAGGCATATAGAAGATGTGATTAATATGAATTGTTTAATTTTGATTTAAATTAAAATTAAATTTTAATCCAAAACAAACAGGTATTTGAACTCACGATATACAAAATAGATTATTTTCCCGTGTTTATTGCCACCACTAATTTAATAAATTTTCTTCTACTGTTCTTCTTTTAATTTCGTCCCTATTACTCCTATTTAAACTTGTGCTGCAAATTATGTATATAAAGGGTTAGCTTGTCCAAGTTTTGTTTTCCTCAACATGCAAAATTCTGTTGTACGAGTCCAAGAAAATCAGGTTTTAAGATGTTTTCTTGCTTTTACTTAAATACTTTATATACTATCAAATTATAAAATTTATTTCTAGACTTCGAGTCTAGCGGTACAAAAAATTTCATCTTTTTTAACTGTTTGAACTTGTAGAACTTCTTAAATATACCGAATAAAAGGTCGTTCCAAACAAACTAGCTTAAAACTTACTACCATCGTCTTGTAATTGAATCTACCATTTGTGCGAGTACATATTTCTTTGAACAACAATGCGAATGATGTTGAATAGATGATGAAGTATAGATGAATGGAGCCATGGCTTCTCTTCACAGTCTTCTTATATTTAGGGCCTGATAGCCTTTCTTTTTCTTTTTTTTCCTTTTTTAATTACACCCATCTCAAATAGTACAAATACAATTTACCATCAAATTCAAAAACTCCGCCATTTCTAATGTAAACTTATCCGAGTTACAGCATGCTTTACTAAGTTTAAAAATAAGTAGAAGTTACTTTTTAATTAGCATTTTACTTCAAAAAGTATGAAGATAAGGTAATTTTTCTTTTTACTTAGAAGTTTAAAAGAAGAAGAAGAAGAAGAAGAGAGATTCTTATTTTGAAAGTAATTCTTAACTAAATGTGAATAGAAGTAAATTGCTACATTTTAATTTTCATAAATAAAAAAATTAGCAAACAATCTCTTAGCAGAAGCAAAGCAGTTACAATTCCATCCAGCATGAAAGAATCAGAAGATTAAAACGAGATCGCTCAATTATTGAGTTATTTCATCACAATATATACATATATACACATTTGAGTACGGGGAGACGGAGAAATCAGTATATACCAACAAGAGATTCTTATTTTGAAAGTAATTCTTAACTAAATGTGAATAGAAGTAAATTGCTTCATTTTAATTTTCATAAATAAAAAAATTAGCAAACAATCTCTTAGCAGAAGCAAAGCAGTTACAATTCCATCCAGCATGAAAGAATCAGAAGATTAAAACGAGATCGCTCAATTATTGAGTTATTTCATCACAATATATACATATATACACATTTGAGTACGGGGAGACGGAGAAATCAGTATATACCAACAAAACGCCTTCGACGCTGGTCCTCATCCCCTCCTTCATGTAACTGAAACTCAAAACCGAAACAAAACACATCAAAACAATCGAAAACGCAAATCTAAATAACAGGCATACACCCTACGCAATATTAATCTATTCGATCTATCTAGGGTTTAACAATCACCGCAAAAACGCACTTGACTTTCATGCGGGCAAGGCGATCGGCGACGGAGGTGTCTTTCTCCATTTTGGGCTCTTTGGCTCCGAAAGTGTAGCTTGACAGTGGATACGTATTCACCACTGCTGACGACACCATTTTCGCTTCTCTGTAATTTTTCAACTGGCAAAGCGGGAAAGGAAAGAGGCAATACAGAAGAGGGCTTTAACACATTTCGAACGGGGCTTACGTGTATTTTATTAGTTGCTTACAATTAACACCGTGTTTGACAGAAGAGGGCTTTGACGCATTTGGAACGGGGCCTATTCTCTTTGTTGTTTTCAAACTATCTTCGGTTTTTAATTTTCGAAAATACTGAAAACACGTTTACTTACCTATTTTCAGAAATAAATTTTTGAAAACGATGAAAAAAAATTACAAAGAAAATGCAAAATGGCTTTCTAGTCGTTTTGGCTGTTTTTAGTAGAAATCAAGTCAAAACTTCAAAATGCAGTAGTGCCTTTGCTAGTAGTAGGATAGCTCAATTGGTTGTGTCATAAATTTTCTTAAGGTCACGACTCACGAGTTCAATTCAGTTTCACCCGCAATTCAATACATATGAATTTTCTATGCACAGCACAAAAAATTTTAATTAAATTCCACATTTTTTTGGGAATATCTGGATATCTCAGTTGATAGAGTCACAAATTTTGAGTTAGTCACGAGTTCGATTCCACCAGCCTACTTTCAATACAAAGGATTTTTTTTAAAAAAATATATATGCACAGTACAAAAATCTTTCAAATAAATTGGTAGATAGCTGAGATTCGAACCCAAGTCATTAGCATGGAATTTTAATGTCTTAACCATTATGGAAACTACTTCCTTTGTTGTGTGTGTGTGTGTATTGAATAATTGCTTTTTCAGTTTTTCAAAACTACAAAAAAATGTGTTTTTAAATTTTTTACTTATAAAAATAATTTTTCAAAATGACGAAAAGAACGTGTTTTCAATAATATCAAAATGAACACTCAAAACTAAAACACGAAAAGAACACTTTTTTCCAGCTAAAATAATAACATTTTTTTAACACTTTTTCCAGCTAAAATAATAACTTTTTTTTTTTTTTTTAACTTTGATTAATAATGAGATTGTTGTAAACTAAGTCCCTGTTTGATCCCCATTACCCGAAAACGAAAATGGGGGGAATAGTATTTTTTTAGAAAAATGAGTAGTTGAAAAAGAAAGAAAAATTTTCGATTTATGTGTAATATTATTTTATGAAAAATTGTGTGGTTGAAAATAGAATAGAGAAAAATATAATATAACTTAATTTAATGAGGATCAAACATGGGCTAAATGCTATTTTATAACTCCACCGTCTAAATTTAAACTATAGACATAGGATTTTAGCTCTCTATAAAATAAATAAAATTTATAATACAATCTATTTCACTTCTCTTTTTATTCAATATCCTTTTAGTTTTTTTAAAAAAAGATTATTATGCCCTTGGCCATTATTTTGAAAAAAAATGATGCTTTCAAAAATGATTTTTTGAAGGATGTGAAGTTCAAACGTATGAAAAAATTTTAAATTTACGTGTAAAATAATTTATTATGTAAATGCGTGGTTAGAGATATGTTTGAAAATTATACCCACAATACACCTACATTCAACAATAAATAAGTGGCTTCATGAATCAGGCAACATAGTTGGACATGTAAAATCTGTCGGACAAGTAATCTCTGATTGTGAAATTTATGAATACAAGTATGAATCAAAGGTATCAAATTTCTAAATACAAGTAAAACCAATTCAAATTTCACATCCCAAATCAAAACTTCCCTTGTCCCTGAGTTAATCAGCCTCAGAAATGGTGCATACCCGTTT